CAGTGGGATTCATCCCAGGAATGCAAGGATGGTTCAACATACATAAATCAATAAATGTAATGCACCATATCAATAAAGCCAAAAGCAAAAATCACATGATCATTTCTATAGATGCGGAAAAAAGCCTTCAATAAGGTCCAACATTTATTCATGATAAGAACTTTACAGAAAATTGGAATAGATGGTCTTTACCTCAATATAATAAAGGCCATTTATGACAAACCAACAGCCAGCATCATACTAAATGGCCAAAAATTGAAAGCCTTTACTTTAAAATCAGGCACAAGACAAGGATGTCCTTTATCACCACTCCTATTTATTATAGTACTGGAAGTACTAGCCAGAGCAATTAGGCAAGAGAGAGAAATAAAAGGGGTAAAATATAGGAAAAGAAGAAGTTAAATTATCATTGTTTGCAGATGACATGATACTCTACATAGAAGACCCCCTAAACTCCATTGAAAGACTCGTAGATACAATAAATGAATTCAGTAATGTGGCTGGATACAAAATCAGTACTCAAAAATTAATAGCATTCCTATACACTAACAAAAAATCACAGAGAGAGATAAGAGATGTCACACTCTTAACACTAGCAACCAAAAATATGAAATATTTAGGAATTACTCTCATGAAAGAAATGAAAGACCTATACAGGGAAAATTGCAATTCACTGAAAAAACAAATTGAAAATGATCTCAGAAAATGGAAAGACATCCCTTGCTCATGGATAAGAAGAACAAACATTGTGAAAATGGCCATTCTCCCAAAACGGTTGTACAGATTCAATGCAATCCCAATAAAAATGCCATCAACATACCTTATAGATCTAGAGAAATCACTCCTAAATTTCATCTGGAACCAGAAGAGACCTAGAATAGCAAAGGCAATTCTAAGCTGCAAAGACAAAGCAGGAGGCATCACAATCCCTGACTTGAAGTTATACTACAAAGCAACAGTAGTAAAATCAGCATGGTATTGGAATGAAAACAGAGCCGAAGATCAATGGAATAGATTAGAAGATACAACCACAACTACAAACACACTCAATCACCTTATCTTTGATAAAGGAGCCAAGCAGGTTCACTGGAAGAACAACAGTCTCTTTAATAAATGGTGCTGGAAAACTGGCTCTCCATTTGCCGAAAACTAAAGCTATACCCATGTCTATCACCATGTACTAAATTAAAATCTAAATCCCATGTCTATCAGCATGTACTAAATTAAAATCTAAATGGGTCAAAGATCTGAATATTAAAACAGAAGCACTAAATCTATTGGAAGACAAATTGGGTATAAACCTTGAAGACATAGGAGTAGGTAGAGAATTCATGAACAGGACTCAAACCGCACAGGAAATACTTCCCAGAATCAATAGCTGGGACCACTTCTTATTAAAAAGTTTCTGCATGTCAAAACAAATCTCCAGCATGGTAAAAAGAAAACCCACAAACTGGGAAAAGATTTTAGTGAACTCCCTCTCAGACAAGGGACTCTTGTCTAAAACATATAAAGAATTTAAAAAAACTGAGACACCCAAAATTCAAAGATCCAATCCAAAATTGGGCATCTGAGATGAGTACGCACTTCTCAGATGAAGAAATGCAAATGGCAAATAAATACATGAAAAAATGTTCATCATCATTAGTCATTAGAGAAATGCAAATTAAAACCACACTGAGATACCATCTCACTTCTGAAAGAATGGCAAGGATCAAGAAAACCAACAACAACAAATGCTGGAAAGGCTGTGGGAAAAAAGGAACTCTCCTACACTGTTGGTGGCAGTGTAGACTGGTGCAGCCTTTGTGGAGGTCAGTCTGGAGATTTCTCAAAAAGCTGGGATTGGAAGTCCCATTTGTTCCAGCTATTCCACTTCTAGGCATATTCCCAGAAGAACTGAAAGCATCATACCACAGTGATATATGTGCACCTATGTTTATAGCAGCACAATTTGTAATCGCCAGATCTTGGAAACAACCCAAGTGTCCATCAACTGAGGAATGGATAAAAAAGTAGTGGTATTTCTATGCAGTGGAGTATTATTCATCTATAAAGAAGGAGCACATTGAGATATTTATCAATAAATGGGTGCAGCTTGAGACCATACTCATAAGTGAAATAAATCAATCTCACATGTATGAATACCGAATAGTTTCCCTAATGTAAGTAATGATTCAAATATATAAAAATATGTGGTAATCGTGATTCCCCATTATGTGGCCTTGAAGCCTTATAAAGTTTTCACTTATTAATTGGAAAGGCTTTATTCTGGGCTTCTTGCTATGGCAATATTTGAAGCTAAAGTATATGAAGTTTTATTCAAATATTTCAAGGAAAAAGACAGGCACTATGATAACTACTATTAAGTCGGGTTATTTGGTGATGAACCACTAGGTTGCTGAAACAGTCATGCTTTGACCTGTATTGTTATAGCATTATGTCCTGTTTTATCTCAATCTCTGCCTTATTCATTAAAAAATTTTTTAGTTATTTTTTATGTTTTTTTAATTAAGGGGAAAAATTTAAAAAATTAGCAGGGTATATTATAGTACCTTTTTTGATTTCCTATTAACTTGTTTTGAAGGCCTGTAATACTCCCACGATCTTGTTTTGACTGATTAGACTCTGTTCCATTCTGTATGACAGTATCAAGTTTGAGGGTATAGGCAACTACTTTGAAGGCAATAAGATTCACTAAGATGCCCAGTCTGGTTTGACTATTGTCTCCTTTGGAATTCCTGTAATGTTTACAATGCTTAAGTTTTATTGGTCTTGTTCTCTACTGTTTTGTTCAACTTTATAATATATAATGAGATAGACAATTCTTTTTAAGGAAACAAGAGACATTGTTTATAACCATTGTTGATAACCTTGTACTCTGTTTTACATCATGTGCTATGTCTATCCTTGGTTTTGACTGACAGCTTTATTTTGCCATATTTGACTTTATTCTCTTCCAAAAAAAGTAATAAGGAATAAGGAGTAATAAAACGCAAAATGTGTAAATTTTGTTGTAAAAAGGAGAGGGAAAAATTGCTCTAAAGATACGACTGCAAGTATGTTTAGGGGTGTTAAATAGCTGACCATATTAATGTTTTTGGTTGGATCACTGAACACAACTGTTTGCAGTCTCACTGTTTGAATGTCCACTTTGTATGCTTTGATACTGTGATTTGAGCAACTATCTCTAAGATGATAATATGTAATCTATTAACCGGTGATTTCTTACTGTTTTTTTTTTTTTTTTTTTTTTGTAGTTCTGTATTACTTGTACCCTTACACTGCTTTGTTTTGTTTTGTTTTTTCTCTTTGTCCTTTTAAATAAAATTTTAAAAAAAGAAAGTGCTCTAAAGGATATAACCACATGTATATTTAAATGTATAAGATACATAACCATATTACTGATTTTTTGTTGGATCATTGAACAGAATTGTTTGCAGTCTCACTGTTTGAATGTCTACTTTGTATACTTTAATTTTGTAACTTGAACAACTATTTCTAAGGTGACGATATGTAATCTATTAACTAGTGAGTTCCTACTGTTTATTTTTTTGAAATTCTATATTACTTGTGCCCTTTTTATGTTTTTTTTCTCTTTAAATAAATTAAAAAACAAAAGAATTCTTACACTTAAAAGATTGAAAGTGAAATTAAATATATATTACATTTTTCTTTTTGAAGTTTTATTTCAATATGACCATCCAGTCCAAATTTTAAACTTCCACATTAATATATGGTGCAGAAATGTTCATACTCCAATTTTTTTTTGATTTTTTATCTTCAGTTTTCCTCTGAAGATACTTTAAATGGGGAACAAATAGTAGTAATATTCTAAAAGTTGTGGAAATTCAAAAGAACCCAAGAATATTATTCCACCTATCTATAATTTCAATATTCTAGTTCCTTTTTGACTTTTCAGACTCTAGTGTTTTAGCAAGATTAACCTAAATAAAATGTAAAGTCTATTTCAGTTCAAACACTAATGTTGTGTTCCAGGAAAACATTTCTTCTTTAGATTTTAACTATGTGCATGTACAAGAAAAGTGGAGATGATCATATATTTAAAATTAAACTGACTACAAAAGAAATAATAGTCTCACAATTTTTGACATAAATTGTACCAAATGATTTTTAAAAATCATTATCTTTTCTATTGGAATGATAGTTGATGCCATACTATTTTATCCATTTCACAAGGTGCATATGAATCATCTTCTGTTTTTAAAAACAGGTGATAATTAAGACAACTGTTACTGTCATTATTGACACAAAGTGACAAAAGTAAGTAGCATCAGTGATACAGAGCACTGAAGAGCTCAAACATACTTTAGCAGCTTTGAATGGCTCAATTTCAGTTATGATTACTCAAAATTATAAAGCCTCCAAAATGATGATTTCAAAAAATTTGTATATTGTTACAAAAACAGTGTTTTTCATTAGAGAAAGAGACAGGGAGGAAAATGAGGGAGGTTTATTTTTCACCACTGATTTCACCAATAATCTCTAAAACTCAAGTCTGTAAAAATAATTTAAACAGCAGCGGCAGTTTTTGTATGAAATGAAAAATTCATATATTCAAATACTTATAGGCACATAAGTATATGTGTACATGTTTTCTTTACAGAACTTCAAAGGTTGCATTACCAACATTCAAGCTTCTCCCATGGCAATGCCTAATACTTACAAGGATTGTCTACAATACTTGAGACATTTCCAAAAAATTGTATTCTTTTCTTGTCTTTTAGAGAATTTTCCTGCCAACCTTCTACCAACGACCATCTAAAAATTTATACCTACATTAGTAATACACATTTAAAATATACTAATAAAAGAGATGGATTGGATGCAGAAAAGTAAAGAAAAAGACATTGTACAATAAAATATAAGTGCTTAGAATATGGAGACAGATTTTATTATTTTTTCATCCATAGTGTTGCATTGATGTTAAGTAAGCAACATACATGTCATGCAAATATTTGTAAATCGCATCACATTTTTCAGCGACTATCTCTGTATGACATTTTCATCAGTCTGAACTCCACTTCGGCGGCATCTGGACGGTGTTGAGGATTAACCGCTAGCATTTGCTTAATCAGCTTCTTGATTCTTACATTCATGTGTTTGTTCTTTGAAGGAATTTCCAGCTCCAGATTCGGATTTTCTCTCAGTGCCTTTCCAATTGGGACAACATGATTTCCATTCTTGATGTAGCTTCCTAAATGTTCTTTTTTGGTTTCATGATTGAAAAAGGTGAGTCTCTCTTGCATTGCCCAGATAATAACGCCCAGGGAAAAAATGTCAGTCTTTGCCGAGTAACGGCCTTCCCAAACTTCAGGGGCCATGTAAAATTGGGTTCCACATGGGGTGGAAATAAAACATTGGTTTAGATTTACAGGTTCATGTGGATTCTGGGGAGTGGGCACACAAAGTTTACTCAAACCAAAATCTGCCACTTTTATTGTAGGTTCAAATTCACTTTTGTCTAGCTTGCTTGGTGAAACCAAGATATTTTCTGGTTTTAGATCTCTGTGTATAATTTTATTTCTGTGCAAAAAAGCTACGGCACTACTCATTTGTAGCATAAAACTCTTGTTGGTTTTGCGATTAGGCTCCCTAGATAGTAGATATTTGTTCATGTCGCCACCTTCACAAAACTCCATTACGAACCATACACAGTAGTAACTTCTTGGATAAAAAGCAATTGCACCCTTTAGTGAGCTTTCTACCAGCCCTAAGTATAATGGAGCACTATAGTCTCGTGTAATCTTTTGCAGTATTCCATCTTTTTGCACGATGCATTCCTCTAAAAAAACTACATTAGGATGCTGGCCCCTGATGCAATTTAGAGACCAGAGCTCCCGAAGGGCCAGTTCGGAATGTTCAGGTGTCTTGCATATCATTTTCTTGATTGCAACCTTTGTGGAAGTATTTCTGACAATAGCTTCGTATACAACTCCATAATTACCTTGGCCAAGCACTCTTGCTAGATCATATGACAGCTCCTCAGTCTCCATCTTCAAGGTCAATGTTTTTTAGGATAGTGTGTTATTGCCTGTCATGGACACTACGGACCACTATTACAGTACAGCTCGCACCTAAACTGCCAGGGCCTCCAAGTACAGTCGTGGAAGCCACTAAAATTTCAAGGTTACACAACCTGAGATATCTGAGTAGTGCGTTAAAAACAAAGCTAGTAAATTTTTCTTTTTAATAGTTGAAGTTCAAAAGTGTTCCAAAAAATACACAATGCTTTTCAGTCTTGGACGGTGATAATTATTCTGTTTGTCCCTATCCTCCCTTCCTCAAGATTACGCTCTAACCTTGCATAGCCTCATCTGCCCTCTTGAAAGGCTACTGAAAGTATTAGAGGAGCACTCTAGCTGGGTATCTTTGACTTCGGTTCTTCTACTTGGTTGGAAATAGCATAACAGCATCAAATTAGAGGCTTGAAACAGGGAGAAAGAGCAGGTATGAGAAAGGAAGTCAGTATATTTATCCTTATCCATCCTTTTCCTTTTGTCTTACTATGCTCACAGTTGTCATAAGATAGTCTCTCTTCTACAACACCTAACTTACTCTAAACTGCATTAATAACATTTTCTTTCCTTGCTTCTTCAGGCCTGGTGCGGGATAATGGCTTCCTACTGTGATTGGTTACAGGGAACCACCACATCTCTTATTAGTACTCTTAGCCCAGCTTATCCCTCTCTAAGTAGATTCTCAAAACAATGAGAGGTTCTGTTTCCTGGTAAGATTCTAACTGATGCAGAAGCCATAATCAAATTGACTATTTTGTCTAAAAAGTTTTATATAACTTTTAACTTTTGAATTATATGTAAAATAATAAAAACCTGAAAAGTATACAAAGATAATTCTGCAAAATATGCAATACATATCATTAGTAGATAAATGACCATTTAAGTGTTTCCTTTGCTAAAGTCAAGCTTGCATAAGTATATACCATTTGATATCGTTCATTTTGGCTTTGCAAAAAACACTGAAGCAATATCGGTAACAGCACCCGCTATTAGTCTGTTGGTGTCATGGTTTACGTCTGTGGCCCCCAGGCCTCATAAGTTTGCATTGTGAATTTGTGATTGGTTCATTGTCTAGTGTGTGGATTGACGGTGTCAGTGCTACACCCACATAGGGGTGGAGCCAGAATGTAATGTAATGGCAGAGAGAAGGTGTGTCTTGCTCTTTTGTTGGCTCCTGCCTTGCTGTTTGCATCCTCCATGAACTGCAGCTCTGCCATGCCACCTTGCCTTGGAGCCATCTGAGTATGGACTGAAACCTCCAAAAACTGAAAGAAATAAACCTTTCCTTTCCCAACTTTGGGCTTCAGGTATTTTGTCTCAGCAATGAGTAAAAAGGAAGTAAGACAGAATATGGTACCAGGAGTGAGGTCGTTTGCTGCGTCTATACCTGACCATGTTTTTCAAGAGGCTTTGGAAATGGCTTGTGGGGAGAGTTTGGAAAGGTTTGGACATATCACCTTGATGCATAGAGCTGGAGCAGCCTAGGCTGTTCTGTCATGGAGATTCTGGTCAGAGCTCAGAAGACCTTAACACTGATAAAAAGCTTCACGGTAAAGACCAAGCTTGGGAGGTTTCTGCAGGGAAGAAGGACTGCATTGGTTGTTGGACTCCCCATGATGTATGTTGTGGCTTGAGAGAAAGTTTGTCTGCATTTTGCTCATGCCCAGAGACTTTGCCTGAGCTGAAACAAAGGGCAATGGACTGATTAATCTAGAAAAGGAAATTACAAAGCAATGGAATATTGAATCTGTGGCATGGCTATTGTAGCTTTATGTTGCAAATCAAGAGCAAAGAGCCCAGCAGGATAATTTGCAATACTGTAAGTTTGGCCAGAAGGAAAATTCCAGGAATGCTGTGGATTGTAAAGACAGAGTTGAGAGTTTGATTGCTGAAGAGAAACAGAAAGATAAAAGAATTTGCTCAGAGGAGAAAGCTGCAGAGGACCATGCTCCAGCATGGTGATGGAGGCCACACGAGGCTCCAGAATGGTGGCAGAGGCCACATGAGGTTCCAGAATGGCAGCAATGTAGAGAAGCTTTTCCTTACAATCAGAAAAACAGAGCCCTGCCATCCAGGCAACTGACCCCTACAGCCAAGAGAGAGAAAAGTCTGGCTACTGCTCCAGCTAGCAGCAAACCTTGGCAGCATCCACATGGTGCTGATTTTAGATACAAGGAAAATGCATGAATTCTGAGGGCAAGATGGCTTCCACCTCAATTGCAAAGGGCCTGGGAGGCCAAGAAGTGTGTCCCTGAGAGGGCAATTTGTGAAGATGTAAAAGTGAAGCCAAAGATGCAGTGGAGATCCCAGAAATTTGGAAAAGTCAGGAATGTGGATGATCCAAGGAAAGCTGCAAAAAGCAAGCAGAGTTCCTGGAATTACCTTAGGGATGGAATCACCCAAGCCTTTTGGAGCTTGCAACCAGATTGCTTCAGATGCTGAGCATGGAACTCTAGGACTTAATGTTCGTCCTGCTGGATGTTGGACTTGCTTTGTTTCCAATGCTTTTTATTCCCCCATTTATAACTTTTGGAATGGTAATGTTTATCTTATGCCTTTGCAGTTCAGAAATGTTTAACCTTGTTTCATTTGTACAGGGGTTTACAGTTAACAGTTTACCATAGATCTTGGAGGAGACTTGGGACTTGGAGTTTTCAGCAGTGCTGAAACTGTTAGGACTTTGGCAACTCTGGGAGGTGGAATAAACGTCTTTTTATAAAGGATGTACATGAATCCTAGGGGCCAGGAGTGGAACGTCATGGTTTATGTCTGTGGCCCCCAGGCCTCATGAGTTTGCATTGTGCATTTATGATGGTTCATTGTCTAGTGCTTGGATTGATGGTGTCAGTGTTACACCCATCTGGGGGTGGAGCCAGGATGTAATGTAATGGCAGGGAGAATGTGTGTCTTGCTCTTTTGTTGGTTTCTGCCTTGCTGTTTGCATCTTCCATGAACTGCAGCTCTGCCATGCCACCTTGCCTTGGAGCCATTTGAGTATGGATGAAACCTCCAAAAACTGTAAGAAATAAACCTTTCCTTTCCCAATTTTGGGCTTCAGGTATTTTCTCTCAGTGACGAGAAAAAAAGTAACTAAGACATTTGGAAACTGTCACTTCTCCAAGCTCCTCAATCAACTAAGGTTGGGTGGTAAGAATTACAGTATTTCATGTGTTGGAAAAGGTTTTATTTAATAAAGCCCTTTTTCAGTCTGGTGTTTGAGTATGTCTTCAAACTTGAAAAGTTTACTTTTATTACAATCAAATGGTTAGAGCACAATAATTTCAGAATCTTGACAACAATAAATGATGGTGAAAATTAGTAAGATGATACAAGGATCTATCAAAAATTAATTCTTCGGGACCTATTCTGTATCAAGGACAGAAACACTGAGTACCTATTCATTTCTAACTAAAATATTGGTCATTAACCTGATGTCAACGTTAACTATGATAACTCTGAGCTATTAAAATAGCTTAAAATGCCTACTGAAATATTAAACAAACAAAATTACGGTATATACAACTTTAGTCTTATATATTACATTATTTCAACGTTATTTTGGAAGCTTTAATGCAGATATGTTATTCATTATTTAAAATGTTTTCTTTTTTACAGTTCTGGGAATGAAATCCACAGCTTCATGCATGCCAAGAAAGTACTTTTACCACTGAGCAACACCCAACCCTCATAGCCCCTAAGAAATGATTTTGAGTCAATTAATATGAAGCTTTAGGAATATGAAGATGTGCAGGAAAAAGAAGCTCTGGTGTGCTATTGCAAAATAAGGTGGCTATATATTACTGTAACACATGTGCATTTCAAAAAGCTGCAAGAAGGAATTTTAAAAGTTTCCACCATGAAGAAATGGCAAATGTTTGAGGAGACAGGCATGCTTCCTTTAACTTAAACATTATGTGACGTAACAAATATGAAACTATCAAATGGTATCTCATTAATATGTATGCTTTTGTTTTGTGTCTGTTAATAACAAAAAGAAATGGTATGTCTATTAAAGAATTTTACTGAAAGATATGGATGAAATTATAATGAAGGATAATGACGTCTAAATACTCCAGTTAATTTGAGAGTAATTTTAATGCTATTACCGTTTGACTCCATTTCCTAGTATGATGAAAATAAAGAATGTTGCTTTTCATTACCAAACGTGTTCAACAGAAATATTCCATTATCAGGAAATTTTTTACATTATGTTTTTTAAAATTTTCTTTTCTAAGAGGTGGCTACTGGAGTCTATAGAAGAATACTTCTGAGTTGTAAAGGAGATAGGAGGCCTACCTAGATTGTAAAATTTCCTAGATAATATATCATAATACAGGCATACAGAAGAAATTAGATTCAATGCACTATAAGACCATGGGGTGATTATAATTTATAACAATTTTGATCTATTTTAAGTCTTTTAAATATCTTTTAAATATCTATTTAAAAAGTCAAAAAGTTCCCAGCCAATAGAAGTGATAAATATTAGATGAAAATACTAATTACCCTTGTTGATCACTACACATCGTATGCATGCATCAAACTGTCACAATACAACCCATAAATATTTATAAAGGATATATGCCAGTTAAACAAAAAAACCTGCAAAATATGATAATTGCATAACAAGGAATCACAAATTAAGTTTCCCACATAAATATGCTGAGAATGGGAGGCAGAATCACTTTTTTCCCTTTCAGTATCCCCCAACTGGCTGCTTCCATTTAACATAATGTTTTCAGGGTTCACCCATATTGTAACGCACCAGTATTTCATTCCTATTCACAATGAAAACGTTCTCTTGTAAGAATATATCATAATTTGATTATTACTCAATTGATGCACAAAAGTATTAATTTTTAGGTTTTAAAAGTATAAAATTAACCCTAATATGTACATATTTGTAATTGGTAATACCAATATTATATACAGTGTGAGGAGAATGTTACATAGATATGATATACTAATTATTGATCAGCAAGTGTATTTTACTAAATCATCTGTCTTTTGTTGTATTATATATGTTAATACAGTGTTTTAAATAGTTTCTTACCTCTGAAAATGCTGTATTTAGGTTGGAGTTAGCTAGACTCTATGACAGCAGCGAATTCTTCAATCTGACCTATAAAATCAAGATTCTGAAGTTCAGATCATAGATCT